GGGAGAAACCACCAAGCAGTTTCCAAAAAAAAAAAAAATGAGAACCATGCGTTGTGGTATCATCATCACACTACTGTTGTCACTGGTGACATCTTGTCTTCCTCACCTTGATTCCCTCCCCCTCCTAAAAAGAACGCTTGAATTTTTTTAAAGTACTTTTTTTGTTTTTGTTTTTGTTTTTTGTTGTTGTTGTTTTTTTTTTTTTTTAGTTGCCTGCATAAAGGCACAAATGTGAGAGAAAACAGTTCGGGAGAAGACAGATTTGACCTTGGATATTTGGGGGCTGCCTACTACAAGTTTCTTTAACCCTGAAGTTACAGCTGTCTCCTCTTAAAAAAAAAAACAGATTGCCCAGGTGTTGGTGTCCCATGCCTTTAATGCCAGCACTCAGGAGGCAGAGGCAGGCGGATCTCTGTGAGTTCGAGACCAGCCTGGTCTATAAGAGCTAGTTCCAGGACAGCCTCCAAAGTCACAGAGGAACCCTGTCTCGAAAACACAAAACAAAACAAAAAAACCAGAGCATATTATGCACAGCTCATATCCTGGCACTCTTTGAGTGAAACAGTATTTAAACATAGAGCCTGGTTAGTATTTAATGAGTGGAAAGCTTGTGACTTGTACTTTGTTACAAACCACAGAACATTCTAGCTTTCTCAAAACCCAGTCATGTCCACTGGATGGTGGGGGAGTAGAGAGATTAGGGAAATATTGGTCAAAAGAATCAAAAGGCGCCTTAGGCAGGTGAAGTGAAAGAGACATCTTCACACGGTGTGATCAAATATCCTGTAGCAGCACACACAGACATACACTGACACATGCGCAGACACACACACAGACACACACATATACACAGATACATACACACAGAGACACATACAGACACAGACACAAATGTAAAGGGAGGCCTTTTTCCTTGAGAGAAGCCTTCCCGCCAGCCTGGTTCTAGAGCCGCATTAGTCCCATATATTAATTATGAAGCTGTTGGCCTTGCTTGTTTCTTACTGGATAGCTCTGACTGAAGTAATTATCCCATAATTGTTAATCTAAGTATTTCTCTTACCGGAGAGGTTTCTGGGCTTCCTACCCCATGGCGTTACATCTCGACTCTCTTTGTTTCTCCTTCCCAGAGTTCTCCTGGACTCCTAGTCCCACCTATCCATATTCCTATTGGCCCAACAGTGCTTTATTGACATAATCACAGGACTTCCCACATTACACACACACACACACACAGACACACACATACACACAGATACATACACACAGAGATACATACAGACACACACACACACAGGCGCACACATACAGACACAGACACACACAGAGAGACACACATACACACCCACACAGTAAGGTAGTGACGGGGGCTCCCCAGGACTCACTGACTACCTAGACCATTTGATGAGTTCTAGGCTAGGAAGAGACCTGATTCAAAAAAACAAAAAAAAAGTGGACACTGCTTGAGAAATGAAACTCAAACTTGTCAACGTTGTTCTTAGGTCCCTACACGTGCACACACACACAAACACACACACACACATACACACACATACACACATACACACAGACATACACTTTGAGTGGGCTGGACAGGCATGCATCAACTTCATTTTATATATGATAATATGAAGCTGGTCGAATTTTTTTAAAGATTTATTTATTATGTATAGAGTGTTCTGCCTGCATGTCAGAAGACTGCCGTCTTTATAGAAGATTGTGAGTCACCATGTGGGTGCTGGGACTTGAACTCAGGACCTCTGGAAGAGCTCTTAAACTCTGAGCCATCCCTCCAGTCCCCAAGGTGAATGACTTTCAAGGTCACCCGGTTTGTAAGTGGTAGACCTTGGATTAGAACCACAGGGATCCGGAAGTTTGACAGAGAATCACGATTAACTAGATGGTGACTGAAGCCCAGATTTCTAGGCTCTACTCTCAGAGTTTTTAATTCAGTCAGTCTCAGGTAGGAGCAAGAATTCTCATTTCCTGCCAGAGCTCTAGGGGTGCTGAGGCTGCTAGCCTTGGAACCACACTTGGGAAATGTCTGAGCTAGGCCAAATCAATTGTTCTCAGCACACCTGATTTCCAGAATGGTCTAAAAGCTAAGTTCCTAAAGTGCCTGGGGTCAGTGTGGCTCAACCTGATAACACTTGGTTACATCTAATTTTTTTTTTGAAGTCTCTGTGCCATTTTTTATTTGGAAATGTTAGAATTTGGAAGACTATAGATAGGTCTTCTTCTCTCCTCTAAACCATAGAATTAATACTAAATATTTGTACGATTAGCTATAACGAGAAAAACTATAGCCTTGATCTTAAAATTTTTCTAGTTTATGATCCAAGGCTTTCTGCTACCGCTTACCAAAAACTGTCAGTACGGGCTGGCAAATAATTGAGGGTGACAATGGCTGAAGATCCCCCCCACCCCACCCTGGTGACACACTTCCTCCAATAAGCCACACCTACTCCAACAAGACCACACCTCCTGTGAGCCTATAGAGGCCATTTTCATCCAAACCACCACAAGAGCTAAAACCCTGTACTTAAAAATGTATCGCTGTTTCCTTTCACCAGCAGAAAATTTGCTGTCTTGTTGTTTAGGAATCTACTATATCATTTATTGATATTTTATGATGCAATTAAAAAGGCTACCTAGGATTTGTTTGCAAGCATTCCCCCTCCTCCTTTCCCTGGGTTTCAGTGTGGTGTGTTACTTCTGGGAAGCCCCCTCATTCTTGCTATGCTGAAGCCTGTTGCTCATTTCTTATACACTCTACCAACAGCCATCAGCACAAAGTATTATCCCAGGGTGATGTGATTTTTTTCATATATACATACGTGTGTGTGTGTGTGTGTGTATAAAACCCACAGCCGGGCATGGTAGTATACGCCTTTAATCACAGCACCCAGAGGCTGAGGCAAGCAGAACTCCATGAGTTCAAGGCCTGGTCTACAGAGTGAGTTCCAGGACAACCAGGGATATGTAGGGAAACCCTGTCTTGAAAAAAACAAACAAACAAAAACCAACTAAACAAACAAAACAAAAACCCACATAATTCTTTTAAAACCACATAAGTACTACAATACTTTTGTTGGTGCCATTAGTTATAAATGGATCATAACTATTTTCTTTTTGCAACTCATAAGTTCATAGATAAGAATTGTTGAATATTAATTATTACTATTATCCATTTACTATCAGTGTGCAGTTAATAATATTTCAGGTTCAAGGAACTAAATTACAAACAACATATTATATACTGTAAGGCTTATGGCACACTGTTGCCTCTATTGTGTTTAGAGCTCACAAAACGTCTCTAAGAAATCCCAAATACTTGCAAAATATCACTGCAGTTATTGATTGATGGGTTGACTGATTAATGGGTTGATTGATTTTCCTGCTCTGGAACTCATTCTGTGGATCAGGCTGGCCTTGAACCCGGAGATTTCCTCCTTCCTCTGCCTCGTGGATGCTGGGATTCAAGGTGAGTACCACCATGTCCTGCTACCACTGCATGCATTCTCATAGCACTAGTCTTTAATCGAGATATTGTTTCTGAAAATTTCATCCACGTATATAATGTACTTCTTATCATGTGCGTTTCCCATCGCCATCTCTTGTCTTCTTCCCCCTCTGGCTAAACCCCTTCATCTTTTCAAGTAGTCCCTCGTCTGCTCTTGTCTTTTTTTTTTTTTTTCATTTGCTTGTTTTCATGACCCAGAATTTAATGAGGGTTGCTTGCCTGAGCGTGGGTGGAGAGCTATCCACTAGAGCGTGGGACCTACACAATTGAATAAGATGTCTTCCCCTTCCCTAGTAATCAATAATTGCCAATGGCAACTCAGGGAGGCATGGGGGCCTAAGGAAGCCCTGTTCCACCTTTGACAAAATGTTATCAGGTCATCTTGTGTCAGGTAACCATGCTGCTGTGAGTTCACGAGTGCAGTGGCCCTGTGTCTGGAAGACAGCATTCCACAGAACTCCTCTCCATCCACACATTCTACATTCATCCCTTCTGTCCTCTCTCATCGGGTGTTCCTTGAGCCTTGAAGGGCACTGCATGACCTTTTCTTTCGAAGAGGTAAATAAATAAACACTTAACTTTACATGAATGTTCAAGATAGGGCATTAATGGCAGTCCAAAGTGAGGATTCCACCATCCGCGTCTAGTTTGGAGAACAAATGAGCTTATTTGGTTTACTTACGAGAGCGCGGACGACCACAAAACGGCCACACCCCCCAAAAAGTCTCACCTAGCTCGGATACTGACTTCACCATAGCTGAATATGGAGTTAGAAGTCATCCTTCAGAGGACCTATGGAGCCCACGAGATCATAGGCAACTCGAGAAGAATTATACACACTCATGGGAGGGAGGTATAGGAAAGAATGGCTTGAACCTCAGGTGAGGGTGTGATGACCTTCCCTACATGCTTCTGTAAGTGTCCTGGCTGGTTTTGTGTGTCAAGTTGACTCAAGCTAGAGAGTTATCAGAGGAAGGAGCCTCAGCTGAGAAAATGCCTCCATGAGATCCAGCTGGAAGGCATTTTTCTCAATTAGTGACCAGTGGGGGAGGGCCCAGCCCATGGTGGGTGGTGCCATCCCTGGGTTGTTGGTCCTGGGTTCTATAAGAAAGCAGGCCGAGAAAGCCTTGGGAAGCAAGCCAGTAAGCAGCATTCCTCCGTGTGCCTCTGCATCAGCTCCTGCTTCCTGGATCCTGCCCTGCTTTGAGTTCCTGTCCTGACTTCCTTTAGTGATGAACAGCAATACAGAAGTGTAAGCCGGACAAACCCTTTCCTCCCCAACTTGCTCTTTGTCGATGGCACCTAAGCCATGGTTTGGCTATGAGTTTGCCACGAAAGGCTCACGTCTGATTGGGCAACCCCATTATAAGTTGGGGATTACCTGTGAGCGTCTCACATTTAGGGCTGTCTCCCTTTCCCGCGCTAGATCTTGCCGATCGCGAGGAGTTGAACTTTTCATGAGACGCATTGCATTCAGAAGCTAGCTGTCTTCTTTGGATGTCCTTTCACGTAGCCACGACAAATACGAATGTGCTAAGGGAGATTGGGCTGTTTCCCAGATGGCCTCCAGCTCTCTCTGACACGTCAGAGGTGAATTCTTTGCTGAATCGTGGGGGTGGGGGGGCACCACAACAGTTAAACTCTGTTATAGCAGGGTAGACTGTGGAGGGGGTGGGTCACTGTTCCTGTACTTCAGATAAGACACTAAAAAAAAAAAAAAAAACAAAGGAATCATCCCACCCATGTCTAGCTTGATGAACCAAGTTGCCTGGAGTTACTTACAGAAGTAAGTGTGTGGGTCAGGTGTTTCTTGTAGGATCCCCGAGGACTCTCGAAGGCAGCTGCATCAGTGAAAAGCCAAGCCCAGGCGTGCCGCACACCAGGGGGTTTCCCTGCACGCCTGCCCAGTCTCTCCTCGTTAGCAACCATTACTGCTCATTTATTCTTGAGGGAGACCCAGAAGAACCCCTCTCACTTTCTGGCACCTTGGGCCATCCAAAGGCCTGGCTGGATCTGTGAATCAAACGGACTTAAGGTGGATGAACAGGAGGAAAACTACACAGTTTAATTCCACAGAAATTCAG